CCGGGCCCTACCTGAGGCCGCCGTCGGGGGAGGGGGTCCCCCCAGCTCTGCGGAGCCGCATGAACAATAGGCGGCGGCGGCTCCTGCGGGCGGCGGCAGCCCCGCACCCTATGGATCGGCCGCTCCATGGAGCCCTCCAGAGCGCTTCTCGGCTGCCTAGCGAGCGCCGCCGCCGCCGCCCCGCCGGGGGNGAGGAGGAGGAGGAGGAGGCGGCGGTCCCCCGGGAGCTGGGCGCCGACGCGCCGCTGCCCTACTGGACCGCCGTGTTCGAGTACGAGGCGGCGGGCGAGGACGAGCTGACCCTGCGGCTGGGCGACGTGGTGGAGGTGCTGTCCAAGGACTCGCAGGTGTCCGGCGACGAGGGCTGGTGGACCGGGCAGCTGAACCAGCGGGTGGGCATCTTCCCCAGCAACTACGTGACCCCGCGCAGCGCCTTCTCCAGCCGCTGCCAGCCCGGCGGCGAGGACCCCAGTTGCTACCCGCCCATTCAGCGTAAGGCGAAGGCGGGGCCCGGGACCCCGGGGGTGGGGGTCACGGCGGAGCCCCGCGGGTGGTCGCGGGGAGGTGGAGCCCTCCTCGAGGGCTAGGTTGCGGGTGGGGAGGGATGGGGGACCTGGGGTGGGTGTGTGCGCGTGTGCGCTCCGGCCGCAGGGGCTTTGGTGGCCGCTGTGTGCGCGATGGAGACGCTGCAGGCCTTGCCTGGGGCCTCAGGCGCTCGGGCTTCTCCACCTTCACCTGACCACCTCAGCGGCAACTTCCCGAAGCCTCAGCGTGATAATCTCCCCATTTCCCACTAACCCCCCCCTCCCCGGACCCCCAAATATCTGGAAGGGTTTCAGGCAAGCTGGTGGTTTCTGTCGAAACCTTTAGTGCAAAAGTCTGCGACCTCCCCGCCCCTTCCCTCGCCTGTCCCCGCCCCTTCGAGGCACCTGCTTTGGGGGAGCTGGGGGTTGTCTCCCGCCGGGCTGGGCGGGCTCGCTAGTCCCGGAAGCCTGCGCGCACTCAGGGCTGAAGCGTCTCTGAAATGCCGTGTTGATCTCTTGGATGCTCGTCTTGTAACTCAGAAGTTGTACCTTCAGGAGTCTCACTGAATACTAATGTGCTGAGAAGGGTGCGTGATGCGCGGACGGGCGGGCGCTGGGTGGGGAAATGATGAGAGAGGCAAGAGTAAGTCATTCTCCCAGGAGAGGTCAGGTCAGGGCACAGAGGCCAAATCCTGGTCCCTCGACACCCAGTATGTTAAGACAATACATTTTCTTATTTCTTCTCATCCTAGATCCTTGCCTATATTTGGTATTTGCTAAATCTCAGGGGGACCATGCCCATAGGTCCCTTCCAGGGCCTTTCTTCCAGTGTCCTGGTTTTTACCAGTTTCCCAGGAGTCACCTGTTCCATACCCTGCAATGAAATTTCCTTTGCTTTTTCAGAGGATGTAAGTTGCCATTAAAAATTTTTTAATCGATGATGCTAGGTGCTTTTAGCAGAAAGATGTGGATATCCCCAGGTGGAATTTACACTATTTTGTATTTGAGGGTTTCCATAATTTCTTTTCTGTGAAAAAGTATTGTTAATACATGTTTATCATTCCTTATTCCATATTTTGTACACTTTGCATCTTAGCTGTTTAAAAAAAAAAAATCATCACCAATGGCCAACTTTAAACATTTAGTTTTAAAATTTTATTCATGACAGTTATCTTCTGGCCCTGTAACTTATTTTCACCTGAACAATTTTGTTATTAAGATATTTATTAAATACATCGCTTAATATAAAAATCATTATCTCTTACCCTTTTTTCCTACTCTCTTCTTATTGGCGTTTTGACTGTCAAATTGATGTTTAAATCTTTAGTTCCCTTTGTTTCTCTCTCCCTCTCATTCAATTGAAAACTTCCTGTTTCTACATTTGATTGTACTTGGAGGCAACAAATTAAATTGTTTCTAGGTGTTCTATCTTTTTGGCACTAGCACTGGGCAAATGAAGGCTATGAGTCCCAGCATAGTGTCTGAAATAGTGTTGAAGATGAACTTGGTGACACATTGGAAGAAATATTGGAAGAATGGTATGGTGTGTTAGAAAACTGTGTTGTTTTAAACATAAGTCAGATTTCAAGGTTTTTTGTGGGTGAAGTTTGTGATTTTTTCCCCCAAGGACAGCTAGTATCAGAGCAGAAGAGCTAGTGTGAGGCTCATTAGCAGGAACTCAGTTTCTTTACTGTCTTGTACTCCCTGCTGTCAGAGCAGTCAGGAGTGACTTAGGCTGGAAGAACCCACCCCCAGAAAGCCAGCCACGTCCAGTGTTCTACAGTAGAAGCTCCTTCTCCATTAGGTGCCCAGGACTTAATCTTTATTGTAACAAAAGTTACCTTGCAGAGAGTAGATTCCCATATCTAGAACTCAGATGATGTGAAACTAGGAAGTACCTTGTGCTGATTGAAAGAACTGACCTGAAGAACAGGCATTTAAAGGTCCTGGTAAGTTACTTTATTTAGGGTCACCAGGAATTCTGATCTTGACTGGAATTAATTCTCGATAATTCACAAAATGTAATTCCAGCCAAAAACCAATTAGAGAGCCTAGTGGAAAATGGATACTATATTAAATACCCAGGGATAAAGAAGTGATAAGACAAGGAGGTGCTTATAAGTCACACATGGGGGAGATTGGTGATGTAAATACTTAATTTCAGTTCAGTGCTTTGATAAAGATGAACATGGGAAGTTGCTGACAGGTGTGCTTCTGATCTGTATGCTAATATCCACCAGTTCAGGTAGGGTCACTCAGAAATTAAAGGTGATTGACACCTCTCTCCAAAGATTTGGAATGAAGTTGAGCCCCTGACAACTTTTCCTTAGTTCCCCTTTTGAACTTCCCATCTGGGGCATGAATTGTGATGTTAGATTGTGAATAGAAGACACTAAGTAATAAGGATCCGTTTTAGTTTTAAGTACTGCTTTCAGAGTGAAAAATCTGTTTCAGACTTTATTCAGAACAGAAGAGGGGAAAATTACTAAATCTTATGACAAGGAAAAAATATTATAGTGATGTTATAAATCAGCTAACATTCATACTGTGCTTTTATCCCTTCCAATGTAGCTATTAGAGTATAGCCCTCCATGGAGCTGGCAAATAAAAATTACCCAGGAGCTCTCTGATATTCCTTATTTTAGTAAAAGATGGAAAATGTAGTTCTGAATTTATCATCTTGGGAGATACGTAGGTATTAAAAAAAATTTCTCCTGTAGGAAAACTGTGTCTTTTTCAAGCAGGGCATAAATTAAGATTATTACTGATTTACTTTTCTTCCTCACACCTACTACATATCTTATAAGGATGCATTTTCACGTGTACTTAAGATTTTTAAATGAGTGAGATATGTACCATTCACTTGCCAAAACCCACCAGAATGTGCCTATACATTTCATTTCCAAGGATGCAATTAAGGGCAAATAACATCTTGACTCAGAAAATGAAAGAAATAAGGTTTTGTTCCTGATATTCCTGGAAATATCCTTCCACAGAAACTGAAAAATGTGGTGAATGTGACTTGACCTGATTCTTACTTAAAACCAGGTCTTGACTGGAGCAGGGAAGGGAAGGAGAGCCCCACATTCTCTCAGTTGCAACTGACGGTCTAGTTCTTACTCCAAGGACTTCTTAACAGGGAAGGGAAAAGAAAGTACCTTCCTCCCTTGCCCCCACCTCCCTCTGCTCTGCCTTCTGTCTGCTTGTAAGCTATGCTTTATACTTTTCTTGAGGTCTGGTCATACTATTTTCTTAACTAAATAGCAACAACCTGAGAATTTATTTTCTACCCAGAGCAAAATTATTGCTTTGCCTTCCCCACAGAGAGGTTTTCTGTCTACTGCAAAAGGCCACCGGAGGAGCTGTCCCTTCAGCACCCTAGTTCAGAATCACATCTTTTAAATCCTCATACATTTAAATAAATATTTTATACCTCCTGTGTGTCCACAACTATGCTTCAGACCAGAGGGAAGAAGGCAGGGTATAAGAGAAAATACAACGGTTCATTCCCTTAAGTATAATTGAGATATTGAGCTAAAGAAATAAGATGTGTAAATACAAATTTGTTAAATAGGCACATATCTTTTCATCAGTGTAAAAGCTGGTAGAAAAAATATGAACTTTCCTTCCCTCCATGATCCAGAAGGCACCTAACATAACTTATATATTTCTCCAAGAGGGTTTCTAATCTCTCTTTAACATAAGCATAGTTTTCCTCATAGAGATAAGGCAAGAATTAGTAATGTCGGGTTTAATTTAGGACCTAGAAACACTCAAGCTATTTTAATCAGAAAGTGCTGTAGCATAGGAAATTAGGTGCTTATCGAATTATTGGAAGGGGAGGAAGAAGGGACTCTCAGGAGGACCTATGGGGAAAACCCCCAGAACCTTGCAGACCTGGCCCACCAGGCCAGCTGCTACTTCTCTGACTGGGAAGGTACAGCATTGGGAGTTGTCATTGAAGCTGTCGACTTCAAGAACATGCAGTTGTTGTTGAAGTCCAAGATTAGGCAACCACTTGGCCTTGCAACATGCCTCTCCACATCCACAGAGTGAGTGATTGGACACTGATGTGCTGTTGCAGAGAAACCCCACCTCTCCACAGCCATGCTTGCAGGAGAAGCAGGTCTCCATCTCACTTTGTCTTCCAAACCTTCTGCATCTAATTGGCAGAACCTAACCTGCATCCAGAACTCCAGCTGTGAGGGAGTCTGGGAAATGTAGTTTTCCGCTCTCTGGCCTCTGTAGTACTGAAAGGCATGTTGGAGGGATTTTAGAATGGATGCTGATTGCTGGTCTGCAGGGCCTACCCCTCCATATATTTTTCAGGAAGGGTGCTCAGTGAGGTGATAAGCTTGAATAGTTGGAACTTTTGGAGCCTAGATGGGCTATTTGTATTCTTAAAAACAGTCTAACTAACTTTTCCTGAGTTTCCTTTGTGCAGACTGCCAGTTGCATTACAAAATACAAATGAATATCAGTCCCAGATGGGATAGAAACACTATAATTAAGCAAGAACAGAGCTTGGAGCACCACCAGCGTCTGAGCAGAGAATGGCGGTGGCGTGGGGCTGGCTGTGAAAGGAAGCAGTGGGCAGTTCCTTTTTTGGTTTTGCCAAAAGTTTAGAAATATATTTTTGCTTTCTTAATTTTTTAGCAAAATTTTTTTTTGTTCGTTTGTTTTGTGTGTGTGTTTTGGTGGTTTTTTTTTTTTAACCAAAGTACAGACTAATCTCTGTATTTGTTTTAGGAGGCCCAATTTCTTTTTCTTTTTTTTTCCAGATCTAAGTTTGGTTTATTTCCTACTGAGGTATATTCCCCCCACCCCCATCCATTTTGCTTCACCTGCTGAATATTCAGCATAAGTACAGTGGTGAGTAAGGCAGACAGAACCTGCCTTTGTGGATCTCGCAACTTAGCAGGACAACAGGCATTGAACAAATAATTGTAACCGTGTTGAGTCTTGCCAGATAGAGACTGCTATGGAAGTGTTTGATGGGAGCCTGGTGTCATTTAGTTGGGGGTTAGGAAAAGTTCCTTTAGGAAACTGATGTTTAAGTTGAGACCTGAGATATGCGTATGAGTGCGCCAGGTAAAGACAAGAAGACTGAGAAGACAGAGAATGGGGTTTTCTTGAGAAAAATGTACAGTAGCACTTTGCTTATACAGCAGCACCATATCCAGCCCAAGAATTTTGTGCTACTCACTAAGGATAATGCCAGAGAGAGTAAGATAATCACATTTCCTACCTTACGGAGTTGACCTTATAATGGGAAGACAGAAGAGCCAAGTGAACAGACAACTTGCTGTGTTCACCCATCTGGGTAAGTGGGTGATTAAGTGGTGTTTTCAGGATGTTTTTGATTTGCTTTTTTCCCCCCTTCTCTTTCTCAGTGTTAGAGATTGACTTTGCGGAGCTAACCCTGGAAGAGATTATCGGCATTGGGGGCTTTGGGAAGGTCTATCGTGCTTTCTGGATAGGGGATGAAGTCGCCGTGAAAGCTGCTCGCCATGACCCTGATGAAGACATCAGCCAGACCATAGAGAATGTTCGCCAGGAGGCCAAGCTCTTCGCCATGCTGAAGCACCCCAACATCATTGCTCTTAAGGGAGTGTGTCTGAAGGAACCCAACCTCTGCTTGGTCATGGAGTTTGCTCGTGGAGGACCGTTGAATAGAGTGTTATCTGGGAAAAGGATTCCCCCAGACATCCTGGTTAACTGGGCCGTGCAGATCGCCAGAGGGATGAACTACTTACATGCTGAGGCGATTGTCCCCATCATCCACCGAGACCTCAAGTCCAGCAACAGTGAGTATGAAGGGATGGGGCTGGAGGGCTTCAGAGCATGTTCAGACTCAGTCCATGGCTTCAGTGGGAGTGGATTCCTAAAGGAACCTTAGTGGGCAGTGAAACTCCTTGCTTAAAACCATTCCATCCTTGAATTGAGAGGCCAGGCTGGAATGAGTACCAGGAAAATTGGTGTAGGAAGAAAACAGTAAGGAACCTGAAGGGTTGAGATAATTCTGAGCTCATTTTAGCAGGTAAGTTTGGCCATGTATACTTCTGATATACTGTGCAAAAAAAAAACCCAACGACATAGATTTACTTTTCCACTTGAGAGAAGTGTGTCTGTAATCACAAAAGGGGTTTTCTTCTTTCATGGAATATCGGGCAAAGCAAACCTATACCGCCTGTTTGCATTTCTTTCTAAACACCCAACTTGAGGCACCCACCAGAGAAGGGGCTCTAAGGAAGAGGAGGCATGTTGTTTAAGCAGTGAGGCCGATTCAGGTGACTGTGTCAACTCGGAGAGCAAGACCTGGCTGTTAGTATTACGGACCTCCTGATAGCCTAGGGGTAGCATTAATTAACTGTGATAACCACCTAGTGTTTAATAGCAGGGAACTGAGAAGTAACTGTTTATTAAACATCCAGAATCCATAAACTAGATCATAAAGCAAGTGTTAGACATAATTAAATGGAGAGCTGGTAGACACTTCAATCTCTTTCCTTGGCTGAATCAGCAGGTACTGGGAATATGCTTCTTTTGTGTGGTCACTTGTGTTCTCTCTTGCCTAAACTGGGTGCTACAGAGGACACAATTTGCTAAATGGTATGTGCTTAAGAGCACTGTGAGCACCCTCTCCAGAGAGGAGGGTGTTAGGACTTTGGGGGGTGTGGGCCCAGGAACTTCACTTCTTTAGGCTTTATTTTGTTCTGGACTCTTCCACATGTGGCTTACTTTTCTTTTGATGCTCTTGTGAATCTGTTTAAGCAAATGCTTTTTAAAATTATGTAAGTAGTAAGTGTTTTTGTTGTACAAGAATTAGAAAGTGTAGATGAACAAAAAGAAAAGAAATATAGCCCATAATGTTTTCCTTCAGGGAGTATAACTATTACATTTGGCATTCCTTCCAGACATTTTTAGAGCATACGTGGTGTATCTATCGTGTATATATATATATATATATGTATATATATATATACACACACATATATATACATACATATATATACACACACACACACAGATATATATGTGCAAATATACTTTCCAGTTTACTTGAAGTAGCCTTTATTGCCCTTACCTCTTCCACCTGCTCCCTCTTCCCCTTAGTAATAGAAAATTCATTCTTACCAGAGTATGGAATATTAGGTATGTAGTTTAGATATAATCATTTGAAGGATTTAAGTTCTATAAAATAAAATCTGGTTTCTCTTTTCCTTTCATCATTATTCTGTCTCTTTACTGTATGATTATTCTCATATGGGCCTTCAAAACTCTGTTCTTTAAATTTAATAAATAAATTAAAACTTTTGGTGACCCCTTTTCAAAGTAACTTCTACCTAGAGATTGCTTTGGATGATGGGGTAAGAGTAAGCAGCATGTTGGTGCAAAAAATGATATAGAAGCTGAATTTTCTTTATTTTATTTTTTCTTATATTCTTATCATGCTGGGAGAACTAAGCAAAGTTCTTTAACCTGACATAATTGAGTCCATTTAAAAACCTGGGCTAGGATGATGGAATTGTGAAAGTTAATGATTTCCTCTATGAAGTTTTAAATTTAGGTGTAATTTTAAGATGTAAATACAAGGATTTTTGGTTAATCCTTACCCGAGGATATTTTTTTCCATTGATTTTTAGAAAGAGTGAAAGGGAGAGAGGAAGGAGGAGAGAGAGAGAAAGAGAGAGAGAAACATCGATGTGAGAGAGACACATTGATTGATTGCCTCTCACACGTGCCCAGACCAGGGCTGGGATCTAACCTGCAACCCAGGTACATGCCCTGGACCAGGAATCAGATCCACGACCCTTTGGTGCGTGGGCCGATGCTGTAACCACTGAGTCATACCAGCCAGAGCTATAAATACAAGGTTTTGCCTTTTATGAGATTTGTATTTGAAAGTCTAGGCCCTTGTGAAGGCATAGCTAACTTGTCAAGGTTCTACTATTTGCAGGAGATGACAAGAGACCTGAATGTCATTCTTTCATCCAGGAGATAAAGCCCTGGTCCTTTCTTTGTCTTTAAGTGAGTTTCAGGATTGCCAAGGGAGAGCCTTCAGGTGCACTGGATTGTGGCAGGTGCTGGACTTATACATAGGGCAGTATCTTAAAGGACCTCATTAAGGTAATTGATGTCCAGAAGTGTGTGAGGTCCATTGGGCTGCATGGTTGGTGTTGATGTTGATGCCAGCTATAAATCTCACATGTGAGGTGGGGTACCTCCTTGGCATTTGCCTGTGGATGGCTGTTTGTCTGGGACTGTATACAGCATATCCAATATGAGCCTTGCTGACACTGTTGTTCTTATTTCATGGCTGTGTGTACATGACTTGGAAATCATTTTTAAAATGTTCTGCCACTTCCTTGCCTCCAGTTGGAAAGTCATAACTTCTTTGTGCTTCGCAAACCTGGGAATACTGGCCTGTCTCGCTTGGTTTTTATTAGGGGTTCCAGAGAGTTGGATTTTGGTCACTGTTGTGTGAGGGCAGAATTCTATGAATTATATGTATTAGTTGACTTTGAACCTCTAGAGAAAAGAGTATGTATATATGGGGGGTGTCTTTGTTGGAAAAAAAAAAGTAGTTGGTGATAAAAACATTTAGCTATTACAAAAGGTTTAGTAAAAAAGTGATTTATTAAAATGTCTTATCATCCTGCTCACCTACTTAAAAAACTATATGCTGTTTAATGGCAGTGAAATGTGTATAGCATATAGCATCCTATGTTGATATATAATCTGCAATAAGCTTAGGTTTGACTGCACATAACTTAAAAAGCAAAAAATAACTGGCTAAAACAAGGTACACTTCATTTGTCTTTGAAAAGCAGTATGGAGGGTTTTCGGGCATCTCCACAGTGTCACCTGGGACTGAATTGGGCTCCTGTTTTTCACCCTATCATCCCCGTACATGACTCATATCGTCAGGGGTCGCCTTATAGTCCAAGATGCTATTATTTGGTCTAAGTCACTGGCCTGCAGGAGGAGGAAAGACGAAGGACAGAAGTTGTCCCCAGTTAGCCTCCCAGAAGTCCGGCACAACACATCTGCTTGCACTAATTGGTCAGAATGTAATCACACAGCCATGGCTAGTACAGGAGAGGCTGGGACATGCAGGATTTTGTTCTGGGTGCAGTGGGTGCAGCTAATAATTAGAGTGTGTCACCAAGGAAGAGGGAGAGCATGGCTGGCGGGGGGCCGCTGGCAATCTTACCATGGGATCTCAGTGTGGGACATGTACTGGGAAGAACCGTTGCCTCAGGTACTTAGCATCTCATAGCCAAACAAGGTTAGCCAGGCCCTGGGATGTGTGGCTCAGACCCCTGATTTAGCTAGTGGTTTATACTACTTTACTACATTGCATCATTAACTTAAACATCACTTCTTGAAACTACTTGTAAAAGCACAGGCTATAAAAATGGATTTATGTGTCTCTGTGCTTTCAGACTGAGGAAAACCTGATTGTTAGGAGCAGTGTTAGTGAAAGGTGGTCTTTTAGAGGACAGATTGCCCGTTTGGGGGTAGGGAGATGGATTTCAGGATTTTGACTTACAGGCATTTGGCAGTAATAGCAGTTTAATGGTGGCCATTAAAAGTTAAGTTAGTGTAAAAATGAGGTTAAGAAAAAGCTTTGGAAAATGGGAAGCTGTACCCAAAGTGAAGGTAGTGTTATTTTATTTTATTATTAAATAACTTATTTACTCCTCTTAGGAAATGTGGAAAAAACATAGAGGTAAAAGCAGTGCGTGTTTTTCCAATTTTTGCATCTTTGTGTATTTGTTTTCACTCCCAAATCATGCACAGGAAATCTTTTCATTTATTTGTTTGTTTTTTTAATAGTTTATTGATTTTTGGAGAGGGAGAGAGAGAGAGAGAAACATTGATGTGAGAGTGCAACATTCATCATCTACCTCCTACACAACCCCCTACTGGGGATGAAGCCTGCAACCTGGGCATGTGCCCTGACCTGGTATGGAACTGGCAACCTGCTGGTGCCTGGGACGATGCCCAACCAACTGAGCCACACTGACCAGGGCTGCACAGGAAATCTTAATAAACATTGCTCGTGGCATGCTTACCCCTCCCCCACTTGTCGGTACACTGTGGCCACTTTCTTATGTAAGTAAATATTCTTTCACCACCAGATATTTAAAGGTTGCACAGTATTCTACTATTTAGATATACTATATTGCACTAACAAAGTCAAGTCCCTATATAATAATAATATTAATAACAACAACTAATGCTTATTGAGTCTCTCTTTAGGTCAGGCACTAAGCATTTAATGTAGATTCTCATGTTATACTCACAGCAACCCTGCAGAGTAAAGACTATGATGTCTTTCCTTTACAGATGAGGAAACTGAAGCTTAGAAGGGATCATCCATTTCTCTAGACTCTCACTGCCAGTCCTAAGACCTGACTTGGAACCCAGGTCTGACTCCTCAGCTTGTGCTCCTGATCACTATACCAGTGCCAGCACATTGCTGTTGGGCAACTGGGGTGTCTCACTGCGTTATTTCTTGTGGCCCTATAGTACTTCAGCTGTATATAATTAGAAGTGATACTACTGTGCTCACAGAGCCATAGCATCCACATCTCATTAATGTACGATCACCTTATTCTTAATTTCCCAGTTGAAAGGACAGGTGAGTGGTCCTATTTTTGGATGTCAGTTTAATCTTCTCATGAGGTTTTTGTTGCTTTATTTTCCTCTTTTTCTCAAAGGTGCTTTCTCCCCTAAGCCAAGCTGGTTTCCTATTTCCCTCAGAACACATCCTGTACTTTCCAGCCACTGGGCTCTC